ATTAAAGAGCTAATCCACTTTTTCATGTAAATTTACTTGCTTTATGTCTAGCTCATATTATGAACTAATAGCCAACATAATCTTCTATTCAGAAACTCTGAGGTTTTTTTGATTACACACACACAAAAGGCATTTTAAATCAAAACCGTCTATCCACATTACACTTTCGTATCTCTGAGGGCCAAAAAACATTTTCCTTTAATTTTGTTCAGGGGAAAAATCCTCCACAGCCTAAGATCTTGTATGTCAAATCTAATCTCAGAGTGAATTATAAACTGCTGATAATAAGGCTTTATATTAATGGAAGCAGGGTTATAGCCCTCACTATAACATGATATCCATGGTTTCAGTCATAGTTTGCACAATGCAATATATCTTCAGAAGTATCTCACATAATTAATTGGGTAGTGGTGTAATGCAGACTAGAATAAGGAGAAAAACAGGCATTTATCATTTTACAGACATGGGGAGGGATTTTATTAGTCATTTAGTGAGACCAGCTCTTTCCTGGTGCCAGCGGATTAGTGCATGATGGTGTACGGAAATTGTTCTTCAGAATTCTATTTATGTCCCTCAGTGAGCAGAGTTTAAATTTGCTCTGGAATTACACAGAGAAGCTATGCACGATTAGCACAAAGTAAAATTGATTTAAAATAAATTACTAATGCAGACCTCTTTTCACAGATTTTCACTTTGGTCCTGGCATGAAGAGGGGATGGGGTGGGGGGAGGAGTGCGTGCTGTGGAATGGATTTTATCAGTTAAGATCAAAAAGCTGTAGAAATCAGAGATGGAAAAAACCTTGTCAGGTCATCTCTTCAATCAATGCAAGAACATTTTCTACAGTGTATTTCTCTAATACATAGTCAAAATTCACTTTCAAGACTGGAGTGAAGGGTTTCCACTGTTTCCTTTAGCAGATTATTTCATAGTTATATAAACTTTATTTATTCCCAAAAGCATCTCCAAAATTTCCTTTATTTTTTTCTTTTTTTTCTGAATTACACCTTTACAGATTTTTCTCACACCAGCTTTGTTTGTCAGTGTTTATATCCTTCTAAGATTTCTGAACAAGATTCTGTGTTTGCCTCTTCCAGAGCTAAAGATTAAACAAGCTCTATCACTCTTTTATCCTTTCCTCTTGATCCAGTGTTATTAACTCTTCAAAAGTAATTTTTGCTGCTCTTCTCTGAAATTTCCCCAGTTTAAGGCACGATTTGGCTTATGTCAGTGTAGAGCACGAATGCAGCTCACTGGAGTTGTTCAGAAGGGGTTATTCACACCCTTGCCTGTTTAAATGGAGACTTGACCTGGTTTTGTAGCATTTGTAATTGTGTATATATGGCAGTTCACTACTTACCATATCCCTTAGCTTTTTCAGAATTATCCTAGCTGACTCCCTGACACAGAAGAATTTCATGCACCTGCAGCTTTTTATGCAGTCCCTTTATTAGTTCCCCTTGCAGGTCTCCAGCATTAGGGCTCTTCAGTTTGGAGAACAGATGACTGAGTAGTGAATGGGGAAAGATTCTTCGTATTTCCTACAACATAAAAACCAGAAACATCAAATTAAATGGCAAACGGATAAACAACATGACTTCCTGTGTCATATTATGAATATTTAAATTGTGGAATTCACTGCCTCAGCACATTTTGGATGTCAAAATTACGAATAATTCTAAAACATGATTAGACTAATGGAATAATGTAAAAAAGTGTTATTAAGGTCAGCAGACTAAGCGTCTCACAAGGAAATTCCTAAACTACTGAAGAGCTAGGGAGCGTATTACAGCAGAAATGTCACTTTATACTTGCCCTTCTCTATATCATTCGTGAGGTATCACTACAGAACCTGCTCAAATACAGAATACTAGAATACTAGATGAGGCAAACTATCATCCTTCACAGTCATTGGTTATTTATATTCTACAAACACTAATACTCAAGCAGATCTCCAACTGATCTTTGAAAAAAAAATCAGCTTCCAGTCTAATTTTTTTATTGGTTAAAATAATTATCAGTTTTGCAGGTGGTTAAAAGGAATAGCTTTTTGAAAAGACACATACTGGTGTGACCAATTCAGCAGCTCATTTGATTCAAGAGGTCTTTTTTCCCCTTACTCCACTTCACTCAGCTGCTGGCTTTCATAAATTTAAATTGTAGTATGAGCCAGATGGTTGATTTCTGAAAGCATTTAGGTATGTGTGGAAAATCCCATTTTTCTCAGCCAAAATAGACGCAACAAGTAAACTTCATTTAAGAAAAAAAGTATATATACAATCACAACTGAAGTGTTTATTTGCATGTTTTAAGCTTGTTGTATATCATACAGAAACTAGGAGAAGAACTTAGTAAAATGACAACTTCCAACTGTGACCACAGGAAAACTTCCTTCCTCATAAATCAAGATTCGCGGTGACTTCATACTCCTGAATATGTTCTTGCTCTCAAGAACACTGCAGTCATTTCAGGACAATGACGTAGTAGCCAGAAGGACCCGATCTTGTACCTAGTGCTGTCAGTGACAAGATTGCAGGTGACTTTCAGTGGTGCAGGATCACATTCATGACCAGCACCTTTTGTTTTTCAGAAACTTGCAGAACTTCACTGCTACTGTTCGGACCTGTGGCCGAACATACGTTTTTTTACATACTTTTTATGTGTAAGGAGAGCAGGCGCTGACTTGTGCTGTATTTCACCATACGCAGCCACGGAAAAAACTGAAGAACAAGCACAGAACAGATCTTCTTTACTATATAAGTTCAAAATAAATGTGTTTATGATAGATTCTTTTTAAGCCCTAGAAAAATTCTGACTGAGATAAATCTGTGGTATGACGTGTTTGGTCACAACTAGCGTGATCCAACAGCAAAATTGGCAGTTACCTTTTTCTGACAATATGACAGTTAAATATATTGCAATCTGTTAGCTATGCCTTTCTACCATGTAAACAGCGATAGAGTTGTCTGGCAGCAAAATCTAATAATCCAGCTATGCCAGGAATATTTTTACTGGTCAAGCAGACTTAACACAAAATACAAATGCGCCAATTTTATAAATCACAGCATTTAGCACACTATGCATTTCTTCCTAAATTTTTGATGTTGTTGCTTAGGGTTGTCAGTCAGATGGTTCGCTGATATCAGGTTTATTACTAAACTGTAGCTTAAAAATAGCTTTTTCAAGCATTTTTCAAAGCTACAACTGTAAACTTCATCTCATTGTCTGCTGTACGTATTTCTTCTTTTGTAACCACAGAGCCTTTACAGTGGTAAATCTGCTTTAATTGAACCTTAAAAATAGATCCTTCTTCATTAGAAATACATAGATTTCTTCAGGTGCTGATTTACTGTGGAATGATGAAGGCCTATGTCAAAGGTACACTTGTACCATGGCCCCCTTAATATGAGTGAGAAATAAAAACTTAGCTACTTTAAATATTTGCACATAATGTCCTTATATTTTTCTTACCTCCAAGACCTTTTTTATTTCCATGTTTTCATGATAACTTACTTTTGCAGGATTGTTTAATTTATTTTAAAATACCGTTTTTAAAGTGTGCTAGGTTAAATCAAGCTTGGCTGATTAAAGATAGCTTCTCCAAATCTTGGTGGTGGTGGTTGTTTTAAGTATATTACGGACTGTTATTTTATACAGCCTCCCAGCTCTTTGGGCATCAGACTGTGCTGACAGTGCTACAGTGATCTTCTTTATATTATTGTGGATTGGAGAATCAAAATTTTACTACAAAACCAGACAATATGTCACAAAGTAGTATTATGAAGGGCGCAGAGACCAAACATTTTCCACTTTCTACAACTGAAAGACTTGTAAAATTATGTCTTTCAATTGTAAAAAACCAAAACAGCCTTCTAAAACCTGCATGTTTGCTAAACCAAATAAAATCAAAGTCTAATGAAGTCAGTAACATTATTCATCTTGACTTAATGGATTTGATTTGTATCTCACTGCAGAAATTAGGTGCAATTTGAAAAGGTTCATTTACCATGATTTAAAGCCATCCTATCCTACCACAAAAATTAGGGTTAAATTGTAGCAGCAAGTTATTTTTTTTTCTTGGGGTACTTTCCCTTTCTTTACCCCCTCCTTCCAGAATGAGAATGTATCTTTTCTTTCCATTCACATGTTCTTTGCACTCTTTTTTTCAGCTCTTTCCACCATTTTCTCTACATCTTTTTAGTCTATTGCAAGCCATTCAATTTCCAACCTTAGGAGAAAAAAAGATATTTTTATCTCTTTTTTGTAATATTTCTGCTTCTTTCTAATATAATTTGACTTTATAATTGTTTAGAATCTATAAAAAATTCTGTGCAAAATTATTTGTGATATATCTAAGCAATCATGCTGTTGCATTGTGTACAAGCAGTTACTGCACTAGTAAATTATTCTTGCTTTAAATCAGATGCTTTGAATCAGATTTGTCATAAGTGTAAAACAAAATCATTGCTTTCTCCATCCAGACTGTCAGCTGCAAACAAACAAGCTGAAGCTATGGAAAGTATACATGGCTTTGGCTTGATTTTGCTATGAGTTATTCCATCAAACTCAATGGAGTTGTACCAATGTAAGCCTGATGTAGGAAAGAAGAAATTTCTGTATACTTATACAAATCTAAACCATAGATACACATAGATAGCTGTGTAAAAAGTATAAACATGATAATAATTTGCAAATATCAAAGACAGTACAGAAATAGACATATTTTATACAGGCTCAATTGCATGAAAATAACATGCACATTACACTTCCCGGTGAAATGCAGTCTGGCTTATATCAGAGAGGAGAATATAATACCAGTCTAATAACCTGCATGAAAAGTCATGCATTAAATTATCGAGATAAAATCTACAACCTCTCACAGAATACCTAATATATATCTGATAGGAAAACAAGAATGTTATTTAGACTCATTAATACGATCTGGTAAATAGTCCCCTTGTTAATACAACCTCTTTTTTCTTTCTTTTTACTGCTTAATAGAGAAGAAAATCACGTTATTCGGACCTTGACTTTGAAGTAAGTTTTACTGAATTATTCCTGATTATTAAAAGTATTTTCCTAAAAGTAAATGTGAAGTGTTCATTTAGCAGATTTTAGCCTTCTGACATAGTAGATGTCGTAGGGTTGTTCAATTGGTACTGTACAAAACATCGTGAGCAATTAATTAAAACTACTTTGGTGCAACTTGTTTGTTAAATATTCTGGGATCAAACTGTCATATTGCAATATTAACCATCATGGTTTCAGTTTTTAAATTCTATGCCTCTTCATTTTCATCTGTTTTTCTTCTTTGTTTATTTTATTATGTTTTGCTGGCTACCTATCTATGGAAAAAGTGAGACACTTCTGTAGGATAGGCAATGTTGTTAGGGAAGGTTGCTTTGTTCAAGAGATTCTCAATCATTTGTTCTCTCTTTCGTCAATTCTAATTTATTGGCATAGGAGTTTCACATCCAAATAGTGATTATGAATGTGTCAGATTTTGAACGACAAAGTGCTGCAGTTGCCAAAGCTTACAGATCACATGCTACATAAAAAAAACAAGTTCATGTAAGGTTCTTTAGGTTGGATATCCAAAATTTCAGAACTAAACCCCATTGAATGAGAAGGTTTAGTTGTGTAAGTTAATGACCATTTTGTTCTATCATCTCAGTCAGTATTATTAAATCTCTTAGAGTTTTGTTTATTCGAGGATTTTCTCTGCTCTCTACCAGAAGCAATACAGCAATTAGCTTGCAAAGAGATGTTAATAATTTATGTATGTGGGGATTTTGCACGGGTGGTCTGTTCATGTATGTTAATAATTTGATATAATTCATTACATGTGTATACAGAGAAGTTGAACAATCATAACATTTGCATGGAACTTACAGATCTCAGGCTAAACTTTAACATCCAGTGATCACTATACATCAACCATAACTTTAAAAAAAACCCTCTATGTTTGCATGTGCAAAAAAAAAGCATTTTTTATTATCAATTTGGGTGTAAGCACAGCACATGTACTCTCAGATTTCTGATTCTAGTGCATAGAAAAGAAACAGGCAGAACTAGCAAAATGCAGCCATAGCAGTGGTCACAGAAGCCTTGCAATGAGAGAAGGGTTTGTTTTCATGACCTGCTTTGGCTGAAATGCCGACCTTCCATGTCCAGTTGTGGTTTATTGGTAGTTTAAGATCACACTTTAATCTCTTATGTTATTTTCCCCCAGAGACTATAGCTACCCTAAGCAGTCATGTAGCATCTCAAATAAAGCACCAGACAAAGATTCATGGCAAGTTTAAGGAAAATAATATTAAAATATTATCCTAAATTTGCTTTAGGATAAATGCCTAGAAAGGAGGAAAAAGAACATGAATCAATAACAAATTCTGACAAATAAGCAACTCTAAAATTAAATGCAAATAATAGGAATGGAAGTTTTGTAATTATAATGATATAAAGAATTCTGCATTTTACTGTTCTTTATTGAAAGGTAGGAATATCATGCCATTCACAATGAGATCATTCTCTGTGGCAACAGATGCTAAAACATTCTTCTTACCACTCAGGAGAGCATAATCCAGCACCAAATAAACACCAACAATGCTGTACACTTTCTGCTTTCAAGAATCAGGCCTCCCATTACAGACTTTCTTTTGACTCGCATAGTGTATTTAAGATGCTTACACCTTTTCTTGTCTTCTGTGCAGCATTGTTGCTCCATGGCCTAATATTTTTAGAAATATGATTATAATGCAAGAAAGGCTATTTATTTATTAAATGGGAAGGATGGGGCCATTGGGAGTGACTGCTGAGAAAGCGAGCGTGGCAACGATACACTGCCAGTTGCTGCTGTGTTTTAAAAGTACTGACTCATAGTAATGCCATCTCATCTCCCTCTTTTATGGTTTCTCTGAGTAAGTCTGTGGGCTTTCCTGTGTTCTTACACACAGCATGGCTGTCTACCCAAGGTAAAGCAAAATAAAAAAGCCGTAAAATGTTCAAATAGCCACCTAGATTCCTTCGCTTAGCAAGGCATATTGAAGAAGGGAATTAAGATAGTGTTGTGTGGCCAAAACACTGCTATTCTGATACCTCAAAGCAGCTTGACTGCAAAACAGAACAGAGCCTGGAGGTGAGGTCGAGCTAGAGTGATTGTCCATAGTACTTAAGCATTTAACACTTCCTCTTCTTTGTCTGCGACCAGTGCAAGATGGCACTCTTGAGACAACATCCTTCCACAGTTCTGAAGATAACAAATGCTATGGATGTGGTTCTGAGGAAAACAAATGCTAAATACACAGTATGGACAAGATTGTGTCAAGCTTGGATCCCTCTGTCCTTTTGCTTGGAACACTCCCAGCAGTCTCTACACCCTCAACCTCTCACACGTGTCTCTCTGTATCCATACAAGATAAACCCTCAGGCTATGCCTATCTTACTAAAGACAGTAGGGGGAATATTCCTGGGTGCCTATTCCTATTTTTAGAATGACCATTACTATTTCAGTCTGGATCACCCTTGTGTCTCCAAACAGTTCTTGAAATGTCCTTAGAGAACCACTGCAACCTGGGTACCATTCACAATAGGCAATTTGGTTGTAGAATTCTTATTCTGGAGACTAAGCGAATTTCATAGCACTCATGAACATTCCATGCTAGATGGTGCCAGAGAATGGTCTTGGACATGTTTGACCTACTACAGTAGAGTAACAGTTTCGTTGTTTAAAAAAAAGAAAAAAGACTGTGCTAGTGGGCTGCAATGCAACACTCACCTTAATATAGACAATCTGAAGTAAAAACAAACACATGAAAAGCAATTTTTTTTCTGAGAGCCACAGCTGAAACTCAAAGCCAGCTGCTGTGTGGTGTGAACACAGGCAGACCATGACTGTATTCAATGCCATAAAATAATCTCTGTCTCTGTTATATCCAATATATGCAGAAATACAGGTGTAATTTTAAGAGCCTTTGCAAATGGACTATAAATAACAAAAGTCCCGCGACTGTTCTGTGTAGAAAGCTTATGGTTCCAGTCAAAGGAAAGGGGCAGAGAAAAAAAATGACATCGAAATTGACCAGCCCTTATCATAGATCTTAGAGAGGAGTCTCGCAAGAGCTGGGCCACCCATATCTTGTTTTCCATTTTTAAATAGTTTACCATTGCATTTTTAAATTATCCCTTTACACAGAAAAAAGAAGACAGACTGTAACATACTGAGTTTAGTTTGTCAGCAGAAAATATTGCTGCTATATAATAGACTGTCCACTATTAGAGTTTGCAAAACACTGACTAATCTATTTAAACTTTGAAGTTTGCTAAAATGAACAGTCAACATGGAACAGCTTTACAGCTCTTTTCTTACTATTACTAAGGATTAGTTTAGACTCATTCATGCAGTACTGTATCCAAAACATGACCAAAATTCATAGATCTGGGAGTTCCGGATCCTTGCTGCTGCTGGCTGGGGTAACCCCAGCTAAGTGCCCTCCAGCTCCAGTCATTATGTTCTGTTTTCCCCCAAAGCTGGACAGGTAGCTTTTTCATGAAGGCTCAGCACTAATACTTAGCTGTCAAATCAAATAATTTCATTCTAATTATGTTGAACAGAAATAAAGATGCTGTGGAAATTCCCAGGAGGGAATTCACTGACACTTACAAAAACATAAAGGAGAGATAAACAGTATTAATGACACACGTTTTAGGTTTCCAGATCAAAATTACCTTTAAATTCTATGAGAGGGTCTGACTCACGGATTTTCCCAGCCATCCACCCCACTCCCCTTTTTATGGGGCATTCATTGGATCTACTCTGGTAATAACATTTATGCTAAATAATTCAGAAAAGTGCCTTATTACCCTGATCCCCAGGATTCAAGTAATCTCCGGCTCTTTTTGAGTTCCACCCATAAGGGTGAGCAAGGATATAGAAGACAAGTATGAATAGCAGAATGTCTTCTTTTCTTTCCACAGAGCAGTAGACTCTCACATGCAATGATACTAAACTGATCATTAATTGCTGGAGCAGCATTCTTTCAGAATTTCATCTGTGATAGCTATTCATTAAAACAACATTACAAACTCAGAGAAAAGTTCAAAATTATTCTCTCACTAACCTGAAGACATCTCTCAAAGGTGAATAAAAATATGCTCGCACTGAAAAATCCTTTCCCATTCCTAAGTTTGGCAACTGATCATACCTATAACATCTTGAAAACACAGCAGGTTTCTATTGTAGGGCTGGGAAGGCATTCCCCCATCTGTTCTTTCCACTTAGCTGTTTTGTACAATATTTGAGAGAGAGCATTTTTCCCTGTGGCAATATAGACAATCACCAAGGCAAATTGAATAACATTATTATTATTATTATTACTACTACTATTATTATTATTGTTACTACTACTGTTATTTGTAAGATTGACCACAAATCTTCATGACTATGTTTGTGCTTGAGCTAGAGTTCAGCTAAACCCTGTCGTAAATAAAAAAGGGAGCTGGATACCAAGTAATGTTTGAAGTCCTTCCCATCTTGATGGTAACCATCCACACTGAATCCTCTTCTGAGAGTAGATGCTCTTCAGAGTAAAGCTTAGTCTTTTCAAAACACACACTTGATGTTACCTGCTAGTGAGGGTAGAAACGTGGAAGGGGTGTCTGTTCAGTCTGACCCCCTTTAGGGTGTGGGGCACGAGATTTATGGAGCCTGCAGGAAAGAGCACAAGAAGTTGCATGTCTGTAGCCTGGTGCTAACTGAGGTGCTTCTGGAGGGGATGCGGCATTAATGGGCAAATCCCCAGCTGCACCTGAAGACGGTATGCTTTCAAAGGGCAGCTTGAGAAGCTCGTTTTCCATCCTGTTCAGGTCCAGATGCTTCTACAATCACCCTAGTATATATGGGTCAAGATCTCCAGCTCTGCATTGATAAAACTTGTGTATTTTTAAGATCGATAAAGCTGTGTTTTTCACATTGCCTGTTTAATAGGGAAAACAGATTAAACCCCCACAAATACTTAGTGGGGTTTTTTTTCATAAAAGAGAGTTACCCAACAGACCATATTTTCTAGAAAGAAGATAAGATTGTGCTTTCTAACAAGGAATTTAAAAGAAGCCTAGAAAAGAAGAATCAAAGTTGAAAATTTAAGTTACTGCACCTTCAGTTCAGATATGCAGTGGGGAGGGGCGGCTGTCAGTGGGTAGGAATTATGGAATAGAAGCCAGGAAAACACAAAGCAATTAAAAGATAGGTACATATGCATACCAGTCGTTCTGCTATTAAGAATAAAATTTAAAGCCTTTTTTCTGGCAGACTTCCCACTGCAAATGTTTAATTTCTCCTCCCACCTGCTTCTCCTCAGGAATAATGTAATGAACTAAGATATTTGCATTATTCATGTGTGCTATTTAACGAATTCTTGGATACACAATTCAGAAAAATATCAGAAAGTAGCATTCTCTATATTCCTAGCCTTCTATTAAAGTTTCCAGCTGGAGATACTTGTTTCGCAGTCATATGCTATTTCCGGCTTTCAGAGCCAATATTTTAACCGACCAAATCTGTTTCATTCCTGTGAGCATGTCTCCTTATTTCAGCCAATGATAATTATTGAGGCAGAACCTTTCTTTTTTAAATTCTATGTATATGAAACTTGCTACATATCCCTGTCTACCACGTTTAAGCAATAGCTTAAAAGAATCCCTAGGAAGTTACTTAAGTGAAACTCCCCTCATAAATTTAGATCAGCTATCTCTAGTTAAATACATTTTGCAAGGAGTTCATCACCAAATCCTGCAAAATTGTTTCCCTTACTCACCCCACAACTCATGTTAAGTTAATAGGTCTTTAATTGCTTGCTGTATCTCATGTCTCTTTTGTGAAAAATGTTGCCAATTTTCTGTTCTCAGAAGTGAAACCAGTTCTGAACCTACAGTGTATCTTTATGAAGGATAATATGGTTATTACAGCATAGCAGTAGAAATGCATGATCAAGAGAGTAGCCACATTTCATGAAACTTATGAACACAGAAAGCAAGTGGAAGATAAAATTGGTATTGGTAAAGCATTATTTGAGAGTCAGCTACTGCCACTCCATTTTAAAAGGTACTAACCCAGACCTGGCAGAAGTGTTCCTTGCTGGGATGGGTCGCACTCAGCCACTGCGTACGTAGGTTTGCAGGGTTCGTCGCTTACAAGGCCAGGAAAAATCAGGTTTGACCATTAATGGACATGCACAGAGGCTGGTGTCCTGTACCTTTTGCGTCAACATTATTGGCTGCTGCCCTGACTGTAACTCAAGTTCAAACAGTTACAAAAGCTTAAGAAAAGCCAAGTTGAGCCCATCTGCTGCTGGACTGAGGTGAAGCATCCTCCGTCCCCCCTGTCCACCCAGACCACAGAACTATGAGATTGGTTGAACAGTAAGAAGACTTCGGCTTTGCTCCGCAGGCTGGTCTGAACCCATAGCTGAATGTGAATTTGTTTGGAAACAACGCAGACCATAGGTTTGACAGTCTAGGCTTGAAAACAGGCTTCACTCCATGTAGCTGCCAGGGGAGATACATGGCCAAGGCTCTACTCCAAGTGTGGGGGCTCTTTGGGGTCTCCACGTCTTGCACAGGAGTGCCATATAATTAGTTTTTGTGGATGACTGCCTTGTGCATGGGCTAGAGGGAGGGTGGTTTCCAATTGCCCAATACATGAAATAAGAAAACAAGTAAAATTGCCAGTGTCACATTGGACGAGTCTCTGAGCAACCTGATCTAGTTGAATATGTCCCTGCTTATTGCAGGGGGTTGGACTAGATGACCTTTAAAGGTCCCTTCCAACCCAAACCATTTTTCTGATTCTATGATTCTAAAATTGAAAAACTATGCCTATTTTTCTCAATATGAATGCCATTTCAACTGCATTTTATGATGACCTCAATGACAAAAAGATGTCTAATTAAAAAGATATAACATTTGAGGCTTTTTCATTTTGGGCCAGGATTTCTAAATTAAGTGTTCTCCTAAAAATTATTCCTATAAGGACCATTACAAACTGCTGTCACACCCCCATAGAAATTGAAATATTAGCATGCATGCTGAAAACAGAAATTCTAGAAAATATTCCTAATGTGCAAGAGATATCCTTCTGAGAAGTTGTCATCACTTTCAAAATACTTCTAGACTAGCAGAAAAACAGTGTCCCTTGATTTCAGCAACTCAATAAATGTGGGGTAAAAACAGTCTCTTGTACATGGGAAGAACATTAAACAGAGCAGAGAGAAGGCTCAGCGCAATTCCCTTCCATTGGTCAAGTCTATAGGGAAAAGATGTCCCTGCCAAATTCAATTTACTTTATTATATTGAGGAAAATAATGCTTCTCTTAAAAAAGCCCAGATTCAATTATAAATGTAAGCAATTATGTTCCATTTTGCAGAAGGTCATGCATACAAGAAAGAGGCATATGGAATTGTTTCAAGAGTTAAATCAGAAATTCCAGACACTGGACAGATTTCGGGATGTACCAAAATCAGGCAGTATGGTAAGTTTTCCTACTTAGATATTTAAAATATGATGGATCCTTAATAACAACAACGACACAAGAGTCCTTTGAATTCAGTGTTATTTCCCAAGAAGACTTCACTCTGCACTGCCTTTAGATAGCCTCAGAAATTAGAACCAAAGATATTTTCAGTAAATAATCTATGATGAGACTCATTAACTATTACAACTAGACAAAAACTAACTCACTGACGTCATCATACATGACAAGTAATTGAACTGTAGGGAACAGATTTCAAATCTGTGTTCGTCTCCCAAGTCTAAAGGACTTTATACAGTGAAAGCAGCTCAATAATGCAATTTGGTCAATAGGGCTTTTCCTCTAGCTGGGCAAGCAGTTATTAAATTTTTTACTACAGACAAGTCCAGCTAGATTCACCTATATGTGAGACAGTCTAGAAAGCACACAGGGTCTCTGTAATGCCGTGTCTTTTCCATAATAAGTTTATAAGTATCTACCATGGGAAAAGCAAAAATTAAATCATGCTGAGTTGACTCTGCTATCATCATAATTCAAATTTATACACGCATACACATACACACATGCATAACACCCTGACTACATCTGATAATAAAATCGAGGAAACAGTTGATTCTGCCTAATTGAAACAGCATATTTAGTGTGACATATTTGTTAGCAGTAATATTATGATTAGTAATAATTTTATATAGATTTTTTATGATGTGAAAATTGTATATTAAATGGAATTGAGCTAGAATCATTGTATTCTATAACTTTTTCAGAAGAGCTGCTCTCAGACATGAAGAAGAGGTATTAAGCAGATGTGAGGCCAATGGATTTACACCATTTACATCATCTTAATCCAGCAGAAATTTGGCCCTGATTCTTTGATGAACCTTTAGCTGTGATATGTGTTATTCTGCACTCAGTTCTCGCTCACTCCCCCTTCTGAGATTTGCTGACATGTAAAGTTTGCATTAGACTCCCTGTTTGAGATTTGCTGTCCATGTAAAGCTTGAATTAATTCAAAATCTCAAAGGGAATCTCAGTGGAAGCGTTGTGTTTACTCTGTTTCTCATCAGCGCTATGTTTTTGAAAGGTCTGCTAATACAAGCTGCCTAGAGGAATGGTCTATCTGTAAGACAGTCAGAGAGTGATCCAGGTACCTAAATATAGGCATCTCAGGCTATTTTAGACAGCCTCAGGTGCCTTAGTCTATTGCACGGTACAGGCAGTGATGACACAAGTCTCAGGGGAGACCTGCAGCTCTCATGAAAGATAGCTGGAGATCAGGCAGAAAATCCAAAGGCATCTAAAATGGTGGAGAAATGTTAGGTTTTGGCAACTAAGTCGCACCCAATATGTTACAGCAGAAATCACTAATTAAATTGGTCTTCGTCCATAATGTCTTTTACTCTGTAAAAGTTAGCATTCAAAAATTTTGTTCAGTAGAAAATAACCAGCTTTCAGCCTGTTAATCTTAATATGCATGAGCTCATGAGCCTGTAAAGCAAGGTGGCTCTCACAGCATTTTCAAGGAGTAGCTTTGCATGGTTCTGTCATGCACCTACCCCAATTTAAAATCCAGCTGGCAATCTTTGTTTCAAACCACTCCATATTTCAGGCAGCAAGCTGTTCTCAATTACCTTCCCTATTCTTCTCCCACTTTTCTACACAATTGCTGTTAAAAAGATGACTATTGGTACTGGATCACTCAGCCATTCCTCATGTACATTTGTTCTTGTGAAAGAAAGGGCTTAGCTGGCAGCTCAGGTGAGGAGCCTGCCAAAGTGTTGATTGTTCACAGAGAAAGAGTCACAACGGTGCTGAATACCCGCCAGCCTGGCTCCCTGCAAAGCCATTTTCCCCTCTCTGGCTTCTGTGTCTCATGAGAGCACGTTAGCGATCCGCCTTATGAATGGAAAACACGTTATTTCATCCTTGGTTTTAACTCTTCTTTCTTTGATCTTCAGGAGAACTCGGCGCCGAGCAAGGCTCCATGGGACAGTTTCAAAACCACAGGTGACTACCAACACTATACAACGATAAACGTATTAGACACAGAGGCAAAAGATGCTTTAGAACTCAGACCAGCAGAATGGGAGAAGTGTCTGAACTTGCCTTTAGACGTGCAAGAAGGTGACTTTCAAACAGAAGTTTAACAAAAACAAAAAGAAACTGAGCAAAACAAAAGCAAAACAAAAATATTTCATTGCACTGACAATAAAGAGACTTTGGGAATCCTGGCACTCCTGTCTGAACATTGCGACTACTTTATGTCAGGCTCTTCCTCTGCCAAATGTCAGTGGTTTTTTCGTACAGTATATTCCCACTAGTGCGGCTAGTGGAGAACCAGGTGTACAATTCTTACCATCGTGTGTTGTAAGTACCCGTGGAATGGATTTGTAAGGTAATCTTTATAGATAAACCTCAAGCAACGATTCATGTTGTAACAGCTTCATTTGGTTTAGTTTTCAAAAAACTTCACCATGAAGCACAATGTATATATTTATGCAGTTTTTAAAGTTTATAACAGTCTGTTTGGCCATTACTACACTTTTTACTTTATAATATAAAAGCAAAGTTTTTGTCATTAAATGAATGTCTGTTGAGCTACATTCTTCATTGCTTTAAATGCAATAAAGTAATAATCTCACTTTTATATGAATAATATATTTCACATCTTTATTATTGCAGTTTTCTCTAGAAAGCTCAGAGTAGCTTTCTCTGCTGCAGCTGTGTATAAAATATTTAAAATGTTGTATGGTGTAAATAAAACTTTGTCTACATATCAGTTTCTTAGTGCATTTTATTTTGTATTTGTTTATTTAAAATTTGCATATTTATAAAGTCTTCTTTAAAAACACACCTACTGAATATGTATTTGGAGTTTTAATAGTATGGTGTTCTAGTTCTTGCAGAGTTTCTAAAACATATTAGTAGGTTTGTATAGCCATCCTGCTTTTTCTTAGGTATTCTTTTGTGGCAATGTAGTATATAAATTAGACTTGTCAGAATGCGATTATAATTGTTCTGTTTTACAAGAATTTTTGTCTTGTGTCAGAAAAGCAAATAATGGAAAATAAGTTAAGTTTCAATGCACACATGCAAAGCAAATGTTGATTCAGAATCATTACATCTTGTTCATGATCTTGTTGCTGTATAACAAGAAAGACTTTGAAAATAAAAAATTCTGAAGTATTTTAGGCAAAAAAATAAGTGTGTTTCATATCATAGACATCAGATATATATATTATTATACATTATCAAGAGCAGAGAATGATGCATGTTGAAAATAGGGTTAAATAATTATGAATAGAAAGAAAAAATTTCCCTTTCTGTGCTTAGAACCAAAAGCAGATCTTCAAAATCTCTCCTCACCTACAGCATGGGGGGGGGGGGGGGGGGGGGGCGGGGGGGCGAGGGAGGGTCTAAAAAAATCTAAAGCTATTTTAGTTCCTGCTGTATGGAATTGAATACGCTGCAGCCTACTAGCTGAAGAGTTCTTAGAGAGGAAGAAAACATGACCACCAGTCTGCTTCGGAAGTAAAGAGACTAGAATAGACACTTGTCAGTGAGACCTTACCCAGAGCATTGGTAGAAGGAGATCGCCATTCACTTGCTGAGAGAAAAATACCTAGGGACAACCTTAGGACCATCTTTTAGAAGAGTGTTCCAGTTTGTAAATCCTTTCTCCAGGTACTAAAGTCACAGAAAGAAGCCTGACTTTGTCTACTTTGAGTGAGCATCTCATGCAGAATGTAGATTTCTCTAATCTAGTGCTTCAGCACAAACACAAAGTAACTAGCTACCAACCTAGTATCAAGTTCATTAACCGGTTTAGGTGCCTCAAAGTTAGGTGATGTAGTACTCAATATTGCAATACATCAATCAATCAGAACTGGCCCTTTATCAAGAGGCTGAGGCAGAAGAAGGCAGCTGGCATGGCTGGCTATGCAGCCTACTAACATCACACCTCTGAGACGTGCAGCAAAAACCTCTCGTTTTGTATCAAGTTCTAATCTAAAAGGGGTTTCTTTTCCCTTGAGATAAAGACATAACAGAAACATTTTTTAAGGATTTCATCCCCTATGGTAGGCATCTCTCAAGGAGAGCAGGTTTTACAGAATTTTTAGTTTTTGAGACTAAATCAAGAAGCTTAGGACCCTGAATCCAGATATAGGCTTTTGCATCCTCCTTGATTGAGCTGAACATGATACAAACTTGGAGCACCATGGTATTTCAATAATAATAGTGCAGAGATTATTTGCATAAGATTTGTATCACCGAACTGCTGTTCAATAGTGGTCTAGTTACAACTGCAGAAAGCTTAGGGTAGGCTGCAAACTTATCCAGGAAACATGATAAATCTGTTTACACACAATACACTGCTGATCCAGTTGTACTGTTATTAATAACTCACTTGATTCAGGTTTAGCATTAGCCTGGGTGTTTATGTACCACACAGCAGTCACAGATGTGCTTTCAGAGTGTGAGCAGCAGTGTTCAGAGCCTCTTTACTTAGAGCTTGTACTGCCCTGCCCAGAAAGTGCTAGACATTTTTATTTTCCTTTATAATTCATATTTAGCAATACTAAGAACATGCTGAAAACCAGTGTGTTTCCCTATCGATTCTACTCCTTCGTATTAAAGCAGAGTTTGTTTTCTGTCAGCACGATGCCGCACGTGCTTACAATTTGCTGCTCAATGTCTCTGAAATGGTGCAAGTCAGACTAAACCCAGCAGGAGAGTACAAACTTGTATGCACTGGCTTAAATGTTGGTAGGGCACTGCTGAGAAGTTTGGCGTTATATTATATGCAGACAAAAATTGAGCCAGAACTCCCCACATTATAGTAGGTGCAGAGATGAGAGAGGGCTGCCTGCCAGGGCAGGCTGGTGCCACTCGACATGCCCTGTGCTATCTTACCTGGCCTCCAGCTGCAGTTACAGATAAGTTCAGGTGTTTGAGGGCTCAGCTAAGCAGTGTTGCTGCAGCTGGCACTGGAGTATGTTGAGGCTTTGAGCTCAACCTAGAGTTTACCTTCATCCAATTTAAAATACCCGTTCCTAGGTGTGTATAGAAAAAACAAATACTTTTTTGGGAAAGGCCTCATTTTCTCAGCAGTTTAAATATACATTAGTAATCGTATAAAACCATACACAGCTCCTCTATCTCTGTCTTCCTCTTACATTCATACACAGAGGAAGATTTTTTTCTGGCAAGTCAATGCTGAACGAAACATGGCCTGGACTTTTCAGTACTGGGAAGCATTGCGTACAGGAAATCTGGCTGAACAGCCATAGATCACTCAGACAGCAGTTCAAGATACCCATGATTTCACATCCGAGGCTGTGTAAAGGGGATTGGTGTTGCTAGCATAAAAGCACTAACAAAGTTATTTGCTCCATGGACTCTTGCCAATATGATGTTATTTAACACAGAATCTTCTGGGGCGGTGAACTCTGAATTAGTCATTATTGAACTTCAGCTCATACTCCGCAATATCTCTTGGAAAGAAGAAGAAGGAAAGAGAGTCTACGTGCTGCTACAAGGGATGAGAGGAAGAATAGCAGTGCTGCCATGCCGACGCACCTTTGGAGTGTTATGGGCTTAATGTCGCCATATATGTAATGCTAATGACATCTTATGATGAAGATTTAGGATAAAGCTGTAACACAAGACAAAAAAATAAGGATCTGTTCCATTTCATTCACTACTGGGTCTGAATTTCTTCATAATCAGTGAATCAGTGCTCTTCTCCAGGAAATATTGTCCTGACACTCCACCTGTAAGAGTGTTATTTGCTTCTATGATGGTAAGACATATATTACCTAACATTGTTTTACACAGAATTAAACTGGTCTTTTAAAAACAAACAAAACCCCTATCAAACCAAAAAAATCAAGCCCCTAGCGGCACCAGTGAAATGTTCTCTGATGCTTTGGCTGGTCTCTGTTTCCCATAGTTGCTAGGCGATGCTGTACTTGGAGACCAGATCTAACAAAAAGGTCTGCTTCCCAGTGGGAAGCAGGCATCCATCTGTCACAGCATCAACAGTGTGCTTTCCATCGGGTTATGTAAAAGGATATGGAAATCTCTCTTAGCAATCAGCAGATGGAGACATCGTGTATTTATAGTCGGTTTTGAGTTCCTGAGCCATTAGCTCCAGGCTGTGCTGTATCCCTGGGTAAGCCACAAGAAGCAGTTCATCTGACCAAACGTGATTTCCCTCTCTCGAAAAGTGTAACAGGGCTCTCTCGTGCAATTAAGCCCATTCTTATTGGCTGAGCGAAGTAAACAGAGAGGTACTCTGCTGAATATGTGTTTGAGGATCTGTGATTTGTTTTGAGCTAGGTCTCAACCAGTGCATTGCTGTAATCTTTTCTACTCAGTTTTCTAGAAACTTCTTTGTTTGCAAGGAAAGCAGAAGAAGCTTCACTAAAAGAAATTCAGTGGCTGATAAGAAAGGCGTGACTACTAACCCCAGCACTCCCACTGAAATGTTCTGTCTGTTAATTACAATTGTAAGGTAAAGAACAAGCCATTTTTCCGGTTTTGACAAAATTGTCTCTCAGGTAGGCTGCATTGGACCATCCTGTGGCAATGAGTTACTCAGATTAACTGCACTACAGTAGTGCTCCTCTTGTTTGTTCTGAACTACTTTCATTCTATACCTCATGATTTCTTATGAGAAGCAGTTTATAAAATATACCAATTCAACTTCCTCTCTTGACTATATACGCTTCGACTATAGACCCCACAGTTACCTCTTTTTCAGGATTACAAACCCACGCCCAGTTAGTCCTCACATGGAAGCCCTTCCCTGATTTCTGGCATCCTTGTCTCCATTATAGCATTTCCAGGTCTGCTAAAGTTCTTAAATAATTCTCAGTAAAACCAGAAGTCATTAGAGCATTCTGTTTGATCCCTTCAGAAAAGGGAAAAAGCTCAACCAGGAAGCTTCTAAAATGCCTTTTCTTTTGGGGGGGGGGGGGGGGGGAGGAAACTTAAAAATACTTGAATTTTAACTTTTTAATCTAACCATTTAATGGAAAAAAAGATGACCATCCCTTTGAGCAAGAAATAGGCATCAGACAGCTTCTCGTAAGTAATAATCTTGACAAGTGGACTTCAGTAATTTGCTTTCTACTGCTCCTTCTCTGTAGTGCTGTGAATGCAGAGTACTTAAGTAGCACTTAAGTAGCACTGCTGCAGCAACACTGGTAGAGAGTTATCTACAGCCCATTGGATGGGTTTTAAAGTCAGAAAGTGAGCAAGGACTATGTGAATCCTTTCAGATTGAACAGTAGTTGTTTCCCACCCCCTGAAAGTGTGTTGAATTCTGACCTTTTTTGAGTTTTTGTAATCCCCCCTCCTCCAGCTATGTGTTCAAAGAGTGACATCCACTCACTTGCTGACTCTCTTCTTTCATTCTTAGAATGGGTACCCGAGACATGGAAGGGGTTGGAGCTGCTGCTCATGACTGTTCGTCCCTATGACCAAGTGCCTCAAGAGAGATGGAATTTAAGAAACAGATCTAGTCTCAGTGTTATCTTGTTGATTAGCTTAGGCAGTTATTAGGAAGCCCAGCTGGAGATGTCTACTTCTTTGCATGCATTATATAAGCAGATAATGTGCCTTGTTCAACACAACCTTAGGAAACAGGCACCTAACCCTACATGATGCAATGCTGACCATCAAAAAATCCGTGTCCTTTTGTGGATCAAACCCTTAGGAGTTGAAATACTTTTAAAAATCTGGTTCTCGGAATCCAATTTTAAGAACA